GAGACTGTCTCTGGGAGAAGGGGGTGATGGGGGTGGCTAAAGGGGGGACCCTTTTAAAATCTTGAGTTGCAAGCTTTCAACCCCAAGTCCTGTTTAGAACGCCTACGTCCAGCTTTCTCTTAATAAAGATGCCTGTTGGGAGAAATATTCCAGGAGTTCTGTCTTCTTAAGATGCAAAGTGGGGTGGGTCCTTACATTTTGCAGATTTCCAGAGAAGAATCTTTCCCAACCCTACTTACTATCAAGAGATAGATTATAATATGAAATTTAGACTTTATGAATGCAGAAAGACACTCTATGCCTGCAGTTTGGGAAAATACATTTGAATGCATCAAATTATAGTACATTTCAAGAGAAAACAGTTAGTGCTGGAACTGAAGACTGGAGGATACAAGCCTCAGAGTGGAAAAACACTCATGGTCTTTTCTGAAAATGCTTCTGCGTTAATATATTTGGTTGGCCAGAGTTAGTGAAAGAAAAAATGGCTGTGCAAATAAACCTGCCCTTTGCTCATATTTGCTGTACTGTGCTAAAATCAGTTTTGTAATCTTTGCAGTTCTAAAATAACATGGAACTGCCATGAAATGAGAAAAAACCTCATCCATTTGGGTGAGAGGCATTCTGGAAATCAATATATTTTAGATGTACTCGACAAACATAAACTTTATCCACAATATTCCAAAATAAATGTCCTGTTTTTGTTATTACATCATCATTGGAAAAGGAAAAGCTGGTCATTTCCCCTAACCCTAACACACTCTCTCTCTCTTTTTCTTTTTCTCTCTCTTTCTCTTCCTCCCTTTCTCTCCAGTCACAGAATCTGAATGCACGGACAGTTCTCCCACTGTCTATTTCTGGAACCGAAAGGCCTTGCACATTACCAACTCCATAGAGGAGAGTGGGGGTCTTGACCCAGCCCTTGCTGGCTGCCTCTTTGCCGCTTGGGTGCTGGTTTGTCTTGCCATGATCAAAGGCATTCAATCATCAGGCAAGGTGGGTTGCGTCCACTCTTCTGCCTTTACACAAAGATATTCTGTCAGAGACTTCATACAGGTCAGCCTCAATTTACAACTGTAATTCAGCCCAGAATTATGACCATAAGCCATGGTTAACTGGGTCACCATGTGACCAGGCCTGATTTTACTATTTGATTTGTGGCAGTTAAGTGTTCGTTAAGTCAACGCAGTGGTCATGAAGGGAATCCGTGGTTCGCAATGGGTGGTTTTTTTTGCTGAAAACTGGAAGTAAATGCTGGTTTCCAGCAAAAAAGCTGTAAATCATGATTATATGATCTCAAGACACTGCAAACTGCTGTAAAGTGGACCAGTTGCTGAGCATGCAATATATGACCACATGATTATCAGAGGGGGGGGGGATCAGTACTTCAAATCCAGGCTAGGTATCCCTGGGGAGGTCTGTTGTAATTTGAAATGGTCTCTAAATGATAGTGTAAGTCGAGGACCACCTGTAATGGACATCTCAACCATTACCTTGCATATAGTTGTCTTCTTTTCCTCAGCCTAGCAGCCTCCAGATATGGTGGACCAAACTTTCATCTCCACTAGTTGATCTTTGGGCTGAGGAAATTTGCATATACTTTGGGATTTCAGGGACAATGGGAGTTGGGGAAGAGGAGGCAGAACAAGGGAAGCAAATAATTTGGATTATAGACTGAATGAGGGGAATTGTGCATTTTAAGTGTGGATTTTTAACGTACACTGCCCAGAGTCACTGTGTATACGTTGGGCAGCTAAATCTATATAAATAAAAATGTAAATGTTCGTTTGTTCAAAATTTAAAATCTCCGAAAGTTCTTCACCGATTGCTTTGAAATTTTGACACAACGTTGCATTCGAATACACGCGTGTTTTTATATACCTACTATTATATAGATGTCACACCTGTGACAGGTAAAAACATGCTTTTTTTGAAAAACAGCGCCATCTTGCAGTAAAACTGGCTTGCAGTAAAAAAATTAATGAGCAACGTCATAGAAGCAACAATCTTGACAGGACCTTTCAAAGGTGAAGATGTCCTCATTCCTCGCATTCCTATGATTCCAACGGATATGCCATTTCAATTTAAGAGATTGCAATTCCCAATTCGATTGGCACTTGCAATCACCATCAACAAAGCTCAGGGCCAATCTTTAAAATTGTGCGGTTTACATCTAGACACGGATTGCTTCTCACATGGACAATTATATGTTGCGTGTTCTAGAGTCGGCAAACCAGACAATCTCTATATCTGCACAGACAATGGAACAACAAAAATATTGTATACCCACAAGCATTGTGAAATTAAACATATTACAAACGTGCGCTTTCTCTTTTCTTTCTTTTCCATTTAACCAGACTGAGCCACAGCAACGCGTGGCCAGGTACAGCTAGTAAGTTTAATAAATACATTTGTGGGAAAGAAGCTACAGAAACATGAAAGACAAATGTTCCCCTTGTGTACCAATAACTTCTGCCAGTGGGATTCTCAGCATGCCTTGATTTTTATATTCATTTCCATCATATCTTCCCTCCATCCCAGGTTTTGTATTTCAGCTCACTGTTCCCTTATGTGGTTCTCTTGTGCTTCCTTGTACGTGCTTTGCTGCTAGAAGGGGCAGCTGATGGAATCAGGATCATGTTCACCCCTAAGGTAAGAGACTCCCGCTTTGGGCTCCATCCTGATTTTAAAACATTGGTAGTCCTCAATTTACATTCATAATTGGGACCACAGTTTCTGTTGTTTAGCAAAGTAGTTGTTAAGTGAGTCACACTTGATTTTATAATTTTTGTTGCCACAGCTGTTAAGCCAATCACTGCAGTTGTGATTGGCTTATGGTCCGTGGCCCAGTACCAGGCTGTGGCCTATTGGCCACTGGGCTGCGGGAATAGCTGGCGAGGTCCCCCACTCACCAGTAGCAGGCGCTAGTGGCCCCATTTGCGCATGCGTGGAGGCGCTAGTGGCCTGTTTGCATGGGCGCCAGCAGCCCATTTGCGCATGCTCCTCCCTTCCAGGCTGCCAAGCCGGAAAGGTTGGGGAGCTCTGTGTTAAGGGAATCACGGAATCCTTAAGTCAGTTGGCTTTCCCGTTGATATTGCTTGTCAGAAGTCAGCTGTGAAGGTTGCAAATGGTGATCACATGACTTCTAGAACTGCTGTAAATACATACCGGTTGCAGCAGCAAAGACTAGTTGTAAGTCACTTTTTTCAGTGCCATTGCTATACAGAAAAACGAAAGGAAGTCCAGAAAAAATTAAAATTAATTGAATAAGAAAACATCCCCCAAGGGATTCAACACCCATTCTAACCTAAGACCTGAGGACCTTTAAAGGTTCACTTAAACAGTTCCAAGGTGGTGGTCAAATAAACCTAGGTTGGGATGGTATTCTATAGCGCAGGTCTCATGTCAGAGATGGATCCCATCAAATGACATTGTTTAATTGATGGGACTTGGAGTATGCTGGCTCTGTCAGGCTGTATGGAATGGGCAGAAACTATAAGAAATAGGTAATCCCTCAAAGATCCAGTCCCTATCCCTTAGAGCAGTGTTTCTCAACCTTGGCACCTTGAAGATGCGTGGCCTTCAACTCTCAGAATTCCCCAGCCATCTGCCCTATAGGATTTTATAAATGATAACCAGCACCTTGAACTCCATTCAGAATTGCATTCAGAGGCCTACTTGCTTGTAGTGCACCTCACAAAGCAGAGGTATTACATGGGCCTGTCCATGCTGCCACATTCTGGACTATCTGTAGCTTCCAAATAGCCTTCAAGGACAATCCTGTGTAGAATGCACTGCAGTAGTGCAATCGTGAGGTCACCAAAGCATCTTGAGCTTTTACGCCTTTCAGCAAATGAGAAAAGATCTAGGAGGGCCAGAGGTGCAGAAACGTGAAATGATGCCTTTTGTCCCTTTCTTACAATTTCTTATCTTTCTCCACCCCCAAGCTGTCCATTTGGGGAGATATGCAGGTCTGGTGTCAGGCTGCCACTCAGGTGTTCTTTGCCCTGGGTCTGGGCTTCAGCACCATCATTGCTTACTCCAGCTACAATCCTCAGCATAACAACTGCCACATTGATGGGTTGCTTGTGTCTGGCATCAATTTCCTTACCTCGGTGCTGGCCACACTGGTGGTTTTTGCCGTGCTGGGTTTCCGAGCCAATGTGTTGGCACACAAGTGTGTTGTAAGGTTAGTGTCCATCAAACTGTTGGTAAAAGGGCAACAAGCATGATCAAGAGCCCTGGTGGCGCAGTGGTTAGAATGCAGCATTGCAGGCTAATTCTGCTGACTGCCAGGAGTTCAATGCTGACTGACTCAAGGTTGATTCAGCCTTCCATCTTTCCGAGGTCGGTAAAATGAGGACCCAGATTGTTGGGAGCAATATGCTGACTCTAAACCGCTTAGAGAGGGCTGTAAAGCACTATGGAGCGGTAGAGATCAAACAGTAAGTCCTACAAGAAAGGACTGAGTGGGGATATGATACCCCTTTTCAAGTACTGAAGGGGGATGTAACAGCAAAAGGTAGGTCCTAGGTTGGCTGGGCCACCTGGCTGCACCTGTACCAGTCTCATTCTTTGCTCCAAGAAAAATCTGTCATCAGCATCTTTCAGCCATCCCTCCTTCTCGTGGCACCTACCTATCTTGCAGTTAAAATGACTTGACTGAATTTGTCCCCTTCATGCGGCTTATGAGGGAGGCAGGGCATTTCACAGTTTGAGATGCCTGGATATTATTAGGTATTATTCCCAGTTATGCCTGGGAATAATTGGGTGGTTGTTATTATTGTTATCATTATTGTTGTTATTATCATCATTATTATTATGGTTCATTGCACAGTCAACCAGATGTTTAGACCACATTTGGCACTTTTATCCACCTATTGAAACTTCCCAAGGAATTGGGATAGGCAGATGGTATTTGATGCTGTTAAAAAGGTATTGTTGCAGGATATAAGATACAAGCTGTTTTGAGTAAAGCTGTTTTTTTGCAATTGACTGATGGATTTTTTTAATTCCAGTGGTGTTCAAGCACTGCTCAAGATGTTTTGGGATTGCACCCAAGGTGCCTATCACTATTGGTACTATCTTTGCTTCCTTTTGCCAGTCATTCTACTTTTATTTCCAGATCTTTGTATTTTATGATTTTCCCCCAGTTCTTTCTGTTCTGTTCTGCCTCCAGTTTCTGCCATGTCCACTCTTCAGACTTTTTTGCCATTCTTATCAACAATTGTTACATCTGGAGTACACCCAACCTTCTTTTCTGGTTGAATTCAAAAGTCCCAGAGTACTTTAGCTTCTTCATTTTCTATTACATTGTCTATTTTGGGGTCCCACCAGTTCTTGTTTGCAGGCAAATAATATTTCTTGCAGATACTCCAATGCACTATCATTGCTACTTTGTCATGCCATTGTTTGCAATCAGTCTGTGCAATCTTGCAGCAGCTAACTAGGTTGCTTACTGTTTCTTCAGCTTCTTTGCAGAGGCAGCACTTGCTGTCTGTTGCTGTCTTCTCAATTCTGGTTTTGTATGCATGTGTTCTTCAGGCTTGATCTTGTATAGCTAGAATTAGCCTCTCTGCCCGTTTCTTCAACTTTCCTGCTCTTAGTCATTGCCAGGTCTTGTTATCTCCTTTGCCTCCTGTGTTTTTTGTCTACTGTCCATGTAATACTTTGCCTTTTAAAGTCTCTTTTCTATTCTTCATCTGGTCTTTCTTATAGGCCAGTTTGATCTTTAGTATTCAGCAAACCTTCATGGTGTACTAGCTTCAATGTATCTTTTCACTGTCCTTCAAATACTCTTGCCTTTTTCTCTTCAGTTGTCTGGTGACAATTGCTCCTAGCAAAGTAGTCAACATGACTGTTAGGATGAAGGGCATGATTCATTGTTATTATTCTTCCTAGCCAGAACTTTTATTTCTGCTTGAGTCCAATCCATTATTATAGCTGTGTATCTAATGACTGGAGTTGCCCAGGTGTTGATTGTCTTGATGGTATTTTCTCCACTGGATTTGGACTTTAAGATTTTCTTCACTCTCGTGATGTATTCATGTCTAACCTTCTTCTTGACTCCAATGTGCTTGATGGTATCAGCTTGAAGGATAACCAGATGTAGTGGTCTTCATCCAGACTCTTGGTGTTATTTCCATAGAGCTTCTTGATTATTTCATTTTTCACTATTTTTCCTTGTTGATGGTAAGAGTGACGCATTTGTTCAGTCCAAACTCCATTGCACCATCTTGGCACTTTATGCAAACTGTTGAGCAGCAATTCTATTTCAGATGGTGTTTTTCCATACAGCTTCAGATCATCCATGTAAAGGAGGTGAGATAGCCTGGCAGATTATTATTATTATGGTTACTTCTAACCATACTTTTTCATTCCTTATTGGACATTCCTTAATAGAGTCAATGACTAGTTCATAAAACACATTGGTGTATATTAATTGTTTATTGTATGTAAGCATATGGTCATAAAAATAGCAATAGCACTTAAACAAGGGGTCTTCAAACTTGACCCTTTTATGACTTGTGGACTTCAACTCCCAGAATTCCTCAGCCAGCGTGCCTGGCTTAGGAATTCTGGGAGTTGAAGTCCACAAGTCATAAAAGGGCCAAGTTTGAAGATCCCTGACTTAGACTTACTGTATATACATTACCGCTCCATAGTGCTTTACAGCCCTCTCTAAGCAGTTTATGGAGTCAGCATATTGCTCCCAACAATCTCGATCCTCATTTTACCAACCTCGGAAGGATGTAAGGCTGAGTCAACCTTGAGCCAGTCAGGATCGAACTCCTGGCTATGGGCAGATTTAGCCTGCAATACTGTATTTTAACCACTCCACTACCAATTAACTTACAACAGTTTAAACTCTACCTGGAACCCTCCAGATGTGTTGGACCTCAAACTCCAGTATTGTCACCCAACTTATTCTTGAAATTCCAATGTTGCCTCCAAGCCTTGGTTGCCCAACCTTTGTCTAATATCTTCCAGGTCGCTGAGTTCAGGTTTTTATGTTCTGTTTGGGAGTTCAGATGTTTTCTAATCTTTCTACATGTGCTATATGTTTTGTTTGGCAGAAATGCAAATCTTTTGACTGAGCTAGTGAAGAATGGTCCCCTTTCAGCTGTACTTCCTGCAAACTTGTCTGAATTTTCACCTGCTCAATACAGCAATTGGTATCAGGATGAATGGAATGAAACAAAGAAGCAATTGCAGGAGTGGAAAGTTGGTGACTGTCGTGTAGAAGATGAAATGAATAAGGTGAATGGATAGGCAAGGGCTGGATTCACAAATCCAGCTAACTATAGATCATTCAAGAGCACGCCAAATCATTAACGAGGATCTATAAAACCCAGTGGCTGAGTTCACCAAAACCAAAATAGCAAGGTTATGGATTAGAACAGGCATGTCAAACTGGCGACGTCATGTGATGTCGCACAACGTATCGGGCCGGTTTTGCCATTGCCGGCAATGGGGTGGGTGCGGCTTCCACATGATGCATCCGGCCCGTGGGCCGGCAGTTTGACACCCCTGGATTAGAATGATGTGTGTGGACCCAGTCATGGGCTGAAATCAATCCCAAGAAGCAACAGCTGCATTTGGGATAAAAAGAAATCAAGCTATTGAACAGACATGGCCCTGCATATATTATGACTTGCCAGTTAAAACATAACCTTTCGGTTTAGTACAGTGTTTCTCAATCTTAGCAACTTTAAGATCTGTGGAGTTCAACTCCCAGAATTCCACAGACACCCAATAGGGCAGGGGTCTTCAAACTTGGCCCTTTTATGACTTGTGGACTTCAGCTCCCAGAATTCCTCAGCCAGGCATGGGAGTTGAAGTCCACAAATCATAAAAGGGCCAAGTTTGAAGACCCCTGCCCTATTGGGTTTCTGGATGTGTAACTAGGGCAGGGGTAGGCAACCTTGGCTCTTTTATGACTCGTGGACTTCAACTCCCAGAATTCCTGAGTCAGCCATGCTGAGGGGAAAGGGAGAGGTTTCCAAACTGAGCCATGCTGGCTGAGGAATTCTGGGAGTTGAAGTCCACGAGTCATAAAAGAGCCAAGGTTGCCTACCTCTGAACTAGGGGAATGCTGGCTGAGGAAGTCTTAAAGTTGAAGTCCTCACATCTGGAAGAGATCCAGATTGGGGAAGACTCTGGCAGTGGTTTGCTCTCCAAGCTTGTTTCAATATAGTTTCTGAACGTTTAGTTACCAAACTAGGTAACATCATCATCAGGATTTGGGGAACGACTATTAAAAGTTTTCCATCTGCTTTAAATTTGACATTTGCTACAGCTCCTATTGTCAATATTTTTCTCTCTTTCTCCCTCAGGGTGTGGAAGGGACAGGCCTGGCCTTCATCACCTTCACAGAAGCTATGACCCTGTTTCCAACATCCCCTTTCGGGTCTATACTGTTCTTTTTTATGTTGCTCAATTTAGGGCTAAGCACCATGTTAGGGAACATGCAAGGAATCATCACACCTTTACTGGACAACTTCCACAGTCTCCACTGTCGGCGGACGCTCTTCACAGGTACCAGAAAGGGGCAGCCTTTCTTTCTTCACCTGGGGAAAGACCAGAACTCATGGCTGCATTAATATATGCCACAAGGGCTGGGATTTTAAATTGCAGTGCTTTGGACTCTGCAGAATATGGGCCGCTAAACAGGTGGTAGGATTTAAAATATTCTGCAAAATAAAGTGATAGGACAGTGGTGGCGAACCTATGGCATGCGTGCCAGAGGTGGCACGCAGAGCCGTCTCTGTGGGCACGCGTGCCGTCGCCCCAGCCCCGCCTCCCCCCACGGCCCCCTCCTCACCAGCAGCTCCCCTGGAGGAGAGTCACCCCCGGGCACGACCCTCATGGAGCAGTGCAGCCAAGGACATGGTACTGGGCAGCAGGGATAAGACTCTGCCCTCGTGCCCCGTCATGCGCAGATGATGCTGTGGGGTGCAGGTGGAGGGCGTGGCTGCCATGGCGCTGCAGGGCCGCCTGCGCGATCTGCGGTGGGCCGTGGAGGCGGTAGATGGCCCTGCAGGCGGGCGGGGTGGGGGGCAGAGCGGGTGGAGCGGGGGCAGGCAGGGCGGTTTTTGGGCACTTGGTATCTAAAAGGTTCGCCATCACTGTGATAGGATTTCAGATTCCAGGAAGAAGAGGCTGCATTTAAAATGGGATGCCAATGGTGTTGATTGTTGATGGGGCCACTTCAGATGGCCAGGTCAGAATTTGGATGCTACTGCTTCCCAACGTCAAAGTGCAGAGGAGAATGAATGCATTTTAAAATCAATCTGGTGCTCTGCTCTGCAAGACACCAGGGAAGGTTGGCGCATCCATACCCACGCAGATACCTGTTATTGAAGGAACAAAAGGTGACATGCAAATTCCCCATCACAATGAAGCAAAGAACAAAGCATTGTTCCTTTTACAGCAAACGCTTCAAGTATATTTCATATTAAATCCATGAAATTGGAATTTTCCCTTTAAAACATTTCAGGAGAAAGAACATCATTTTGGGCTTTTTCCAATGTTAACATACAGGTAATCCTCAGGTTATGACCATATTTGGGATCAGAATTTCTGTTGTTAAGCAAGGCACTCCTTGTGAGTCGTACCCAATTTTATGATCTTTTTTCCCACTATTTGTTAAGCAAATCACTGCAGTTGTTCAGTGAATCACACAGTTGTTAAGCAGATCTGACTTTGCTAGTCAGAAGGTGGGTAGGAAGGTCGCAAATGGTGATCATGTGGCCGTGGGACACCGCAGCCATCATCAATGCATGCTGGTTGCCAAGTACCCAAATTTGAATTATATGACTGTGGGGACGCTACCATGGTCGTAAGTGCAAGGATCGGTCATAAGACACTTTTTTTCAAAGCTGTTGTAACTTCAAATAGTTGCTAAACAAATGTAAGTTAAGGATTGTCTGTACACAATTGTGGAGCTCCTAGTCTGGCCTCCAGTTCCATATGGACTGGTTCCATGTTTTGTGGGTCTTGGGCAAGAGATCTCAAAGGGTCTTCTCCATTCCGGCTTATAGCACCAGCAACTGTCCCACACCTGGGCCTAAACAAACAAGCAACTGCATGTTGTTCCTAAATGTCAACCTCATCCAGGTCCCATAGCTCTTTTGGACTGTAGTTCTTCTGCCATTGTGCTGTAATAGCAAAGACACAGCTGCAGAAGAGTGCAGCAAAGTAGCTGAGCTCAGCCAGCTTGCATTTTGCTCACATCTCTGTTTGAAGCAGGGACCCTGATGGAGATATACTGGCTGTAGATATCTGATAGGCCAGAGGTCCCCAACCTTTTGGGCACCAGGGACCAGTTCCACGGAGAAAGGTTTTTCCATGGACCGGAGAGTGCTTGGTTTTGTGTGCTGCCTGCATCTCATGGATGGGGCTTTGCTTGTTTGTGCGGACCGGTTGCTGGCATGCAGCGGCCCAGTACCAGTCCACAGACCAGGGCTTGGGGACCCCTGTGATAGGCCATTAAAATAATGGTTACATTCCTACATTACTCTTAGCTGTGATCGAGATGGCATCTCCTATTTTTAAAAATGCTGCCACCTATATCTTATGCTGCTTATTGGCACTCAGAGGCCTCTGTTAGTCCTCTGATCATGCTGGTGATGCCAAATAAAAATATTGATGGTATTTCTCATTAAGTGTAATAGCTTAATGTAATACCAGTCAGAAGTGTAATACCAGTCAGAAGTTCTGACTGGTATCCATTCATGCCAGTGTGTTTTCTGTTTCTCTCCCTACAGTCGTGTGCTGTATGATTGGATTCTTGCTGGGCTTGGTTTTTGTTCAGGTCTCAGGCAACTATTTTATTTATTTATTTATTTTATTATTATTCGAATTTATATCCCGCCCTTCTCCTTGCGGACTCAGGGCGGCTGACAATCGATTAAAAACACCAATAACAATTACAAAATTAAAATTAATTAAAATGAAATATTTAAATTGTCTGATTAAAATATGATTAAAAACCCCTCTAAAAACCCCCTCTTAAAAATTGCCCTAGGCCAGTCCCGCTTGTTGGAATAGCCATGACTATGTTTGATGACTATTCAGCCACTTTGCCCCTGCTTATTGTTGTAGCTGGCGAAGCTTTTGCCATAGCCTGGATCTATGGAGCTGACAGGTAATTCTCTTACCTTTCCTCCTATCTCTGCCTGTTTCCAGTTTGTTTGTGTCTTGGGAAGTTGAAGAAAGGTAGTGTCTATATGCTCTGACCAGATGGCTATATACTCTGACCAGCACAGGTAGGTAGGGTTTAATCGTAATTTTTGTGTAACCTTTGTGCAAACAATCTTGTTTCCGCCATCCAGCTATCTACTACTTTTGCCTTTATGTTTCTCTTCCTGCAGGTTCTTGGATGACATAGAAAACATGCTGGGCTGGCGGCCGTGGAAAATCTACAGCTACATGTGGCGCTTTGTGAGTCTGGCAGCAATGTTGTGCCTGTTGCTAGCGAGTTTGGTATACTTGCTCATGAAGCGCCCCACCTACACCGCCTGGAACAGAGAAAAGGTAAGAATTTTATCTACTCTTTGTTTTTCATGCATTGCAGTTGGCCTGCTCATCTTCTGTTTGAAAACAAAACAAAAAAATGAAATCTAGGGACATGTGTACATATGACATCTAGGCATGTGTGCCCGCTGCTTGTACAAATGGAGCTGTGGGCATGCACTCACCTGTCATTTCCACGGACCGGTTCCAAACGGCCCACGGGCCGGTACTGAGCCACGGCCCAGGGGTTGGGGACCCCTTGATTTAAAGGGTGGGTGCACACAATACGTTTAGCCTTAACCCTGGGTTAGAATTTAAAAATGCAAGTGTTCAGACTGATGTCAACGCTGCAAATACTGTATATTCTTGCTTTGACAATGTGCAGAACTGTCTGGTATATATATAGTTAAACCAGCAACTAGGAAAGAGGGAGGAGCATAAGGATAGCCCGGGAGAAAGAAACCGGAAGTAAATCACATCTTTCAAGTTGATTGGAAGATGTGAACCATGACCCTACAATAAGGGAGTGGACAATG